TAAAAAGCCATGCGCATTGTAGTAACATTTTCATAGGCATCCTTCTATCCAAAAGCAGCTCTCTCATTGTACGGTATTTTTAATATGCAAAAACAGTTGCTTATCACTATTACATTTTAAACCAAAAATATATTTTAAATTCTGAAATCTCCACTTCAATTCTGGTAAAAAGAATTCAGCTTAGACTGACATATTTTAGCATGGCCATTCTTCCACAAATTCCTTTTCAGAAATACTCAAACTGCATCATAGCTGCCACGTGGCAGTGTCAATGGTTATTATATATTATGGCCTGATTCCAAAGCCCAGTGAAGCTGAAAGAAATAGTAACTACACTGGGCTTTGAATCAGACCCATATGGTGGATGGCAAAAACTGAGAAGGTCTTGCCATTAGGGACCTTGCAAAAAAAAAATTACTGTTGTTAGAGAAGTTGAGTACTGAAAACAAAGATCATCACAGTAAAAGTGCTGATCCTAAAGAGACATCTACAAAAGCACTCTACCTAAGATTAAGGGGCCTGGGCTTTAGGTCCTTTTGCAGAATTTGTACCATGCGTAGATGACCCTCCTGCTGTATGCTAACTTTTATTCAGTGCTGTATACAAGTAAGATAAGCTGATTTTCTTACAGTCTCGCAGGCTACCACAGGAAATTGACCTATGATTGGCATTTCCAGCTGCAGACATTCAGTATTAATAACTAGAACACTTCATTAACATTGTTTAGAAAGGAGATGCTGAAAGAGATAGAATTAGACCAACAAGGGCTGATGATATATTAAGGTCCCACTGTTTCATCCATATTGCTACATGGTACCTTGGATCTGACAGCCTGGAAACAGAGAATTGACCAACTAGCACACAACACTGTAGTCTTTAGGCAAAACTGCCACTAAATAAAAATAGAAAATTTGCGTTCATGGGAATGCAGGATCATGCCCTTTGAATGCAGCAATTATTTATAGGTTAGCAGGGGGGTAGAATTTCAGTGGGTTTCAGAAATCAGGTCATTAGGCAACAGGAAATAGTGCAGACAGGGTTAATTATCAACTGAAATACCATTTTGAATTCTCTGCACAGAAACAAGTTTATTTGGTTTTGTGAATTCTTAGCAGCTTTCTCCATATAAGTCACCAGACTGAGACAGCCACATCGCTTATTAAGCTCTGCTCATTACTTAGGGTACTTTCTGTTGATGCAGTACCCAGGAACAGCTTACAAATTGGCAGAGATCTTGCTTCTAGAAAATGAGACAGATGTGAAGCCAGAGCCAAGTCTTATGCACATTTATACAGATTTTCCAGTGCACTCTTGGAAAGAGTACAAAACATACTGCAGAAGGAAAATTATAGAGCCTTCCTCCATTAAATGGACTTTGCTGTGTACATTTTCCAAAAAGTTATACTACAAGGGAAAAACATATATTTATTTTCTCTGTTGATTTAAATTCCCAAATTTTCTTTAGTTGATGTCCCTATTTGACTACATAGGAGTCATTAAAACACAAATCTAGTTCCAAGATGTCTATGGAAAGATATCCCGTATTCATTTTGGACTGACTGTTCAAAAATGTTTTTTTCATCTGCAATTCTCTTTATTCCTTACATTTCTTGGTTAGCTAATTATTTTGAGTCAATTTCTTTTCTCACTGCCACCTACAGAAATTGAGAGCAACTCTGCTCAAGTTAGCAGGTTTCCACTAGTGCAACCAAGAACAAAAACTAGCTAATTATGTGCAATGTCTTGAATAGATTCCATCTGGCACTTAGGAGCTACCTCTTCAAGTTGTGTTCCATTGATGAAGACTCCACTTGTACTGCTGGAGATAAATCACAAGTAACTTTAAAAGTACATAATGGACTTTAGGTGTGCCAGAACACTCTGTAAACTTAAAATGTTATACAATGAAAATAACATATTTCAGCCTGCCAAATAGATGATTGAATTCAAAGAAGCTAAGAGCTGCTCTCACATGAGGGCATACGCTACTGAAACTTAAAATGATATGGGATTCCATAACTTAACAAAATGGGTTGTCTGTAAACTTAGTTTCCTGAGCTACTAGTTCTGACACAATAGACAACAGCAGCTGGGAACACAGCCTATGCTTGTTTGGGATGGCATTAGGTTGGGTCTGAAAGGTGGAAGCTTCGACTGATTGTACTTGCAAGCATATTTCAGTGAGATTTGCCTCAGTAAGAATTGGAGGAATGCATCTATAATAGCTGCTGACTGAGGTGTACAATGGCAACTTTTTTTTTGTATCCATACTATGTGCATGGATGTGGCTAATCAACAAGTAAGACCTGTTTGGGGTGAGGCTCTCACTAATGTTCACTTTCGTTTTCAGTTCTTCCTGGAGCTGGAAGGCCTACAGTGAGGGTTATGAACTGCAGCACTTCCACTTGGGGAAAGGTTACTACAGAAGCAAAGATGTTTTCAGACAAATTCATCTCCCTCTTTGCAGCTCTTTGCCACTTTAATAATTGAGAGATAAAACATGTAGCAACCAAATGAGAAGGGGAAATTTATATGCCCACACTGGAAGCACAATTCACAGCCTCCATGAAGACAAGAGATTTTAACCTGCAAGCACAAAGGGTTTAACCTTACTCGAACATACTTGAGATTTAAATACAAAAATCAGACTGTAGTACTATAAAACAGCCCATTGGTACAGGCAATGCATTCTACTGCATTTAACTCAGGGCTGAAAGCCAGGAATGCCTCCATTCAAACCCAGCACAGCCACTGACTCACTGTGTGGCCTAGGGCCTAATCATACAACCATAGCCCTAACTACCGTGAACTCACCTCCTTGCTTTAGTGGGGCAGCTCAGAACAGCAACTGAATGCAGGCTTGGACTCCTGGACCTACAGGTGAATGAATCCTAGGACCATTCTAGCACCTACAGGTCACAGGCCATGCTGGCAATGTCCTAACCCGCCTTTCACAAATTGGCAGGAGGCCTTTACAGCAGCACTGCGCCATGTCCAGAAGCCTGACAGTGGGAATATTTCCACCAGAGTATTTCCATCCCTTCCGCACTGATGAACAGAGGCTAGGCACAAAGCAGGGGGCAGGGGGGAAGAGGAGGGAAATCAGCTTACATCTCGTTTTCTAACTTGTATACAAACACATTGCATACTCCCTAGTCTTCCATAATTTCTAACAAAGTGCAAGCCACGATGGAGTCACTTGGTGTCTATTACTTGCTCAGTATCCAGCAGTACTAGTCTTTTGGATTAAGTACAGACAAACAAAAAGCCCAAGGCTGTGTCAATTCAGTCTTCACAGGTTAGTCTAAGCTGCGGAGATTGAACCGGTAAGCAAGTGAACAGTCACTTTTGATTGCAGAAATGCAGCCACATGCCTGCAGTGGTTCAGGCCAGAAGCCAAGGGGTGCTAGCATAGGTGAAACGTAGGGTGGACATGTGCTCCTCCTGAGATTGGTTGCCACCGTCGGCTTCTGTGGGCAGTCCCCGCTTGCCACCTGCCCCCCACTCCCACCCCTTCGCCATTGCCAGCATCTGTGGGTAGTCCCTGCTCACCCCCACCCCCCACTGCCTCTGGCATTTACCTCTGATTTAACCTAAACCAGTTAAGCCTGATACTCACTTCAGCCATTTTGAAAGCAGTTTATGTACGCTGAACTCCTGTTGTGTTACAGATTTGAACCTGTTTCCTAAAACTTATACTAGTTTATATGCCATTGCTGTCCCTAGCCTTGATGATCTTTAAAGTAGTCTTCATCCCACTTACCTGGCTGCTGGGAACAGGGGAGGACAGGCTACCCATCCTGTCTCCCAACAGTGAAGACAGGAACACAGAAACAGAGGGAATGATTATCCCAATCCAGATCAATCCTTTTCAGGAATCATGGGAAACAGGGCATACTAGCTAGCCCCTCTGATACAAAAGGACTCTTGCCCACGTTTCCCTCTCCTGTCAAAGTAAAAATTAAAGCTAGTTTTGTTTTTGGCTGCAAAAGTGAACGACATTCTCCCATACAGCATGTTGGCTATTTGCAGTGATGCCTAAAAATCCTGTCCATCGATTTTAAGACATAGACCTGACATGTTAAAAAAAGTCTTCATCGTAGAATTAACTTGAATTACCTACATTTGGAGTGAGATTTCATAGATTTCATAGACATTAGGGCTGGAAGGGACCTTGGAAGATCATCGAGTCCAGCCCCCCACCCGAAGGGCAGGAAGTCAACTGGGGTCATAGGATCCCAGCAAGATAAGCATCCAATTTGCTCTTGAAGGTGTTCAGTGTAGGTGCTTGAACCATCTCCGATGGCAGGCTGTTCCAGACCTTGGGGGCTTGGACAGTAAAGAAATTCTGATGTCCAGCTTGAAAAGGTCTTGCAGTAGGTTATGACCATTCGACCTCGTCATCCCCTGGGGCACTCTGGTGAACAAACGTTCCCCCAGATCCTGGTGGTTACCCCTGATAAACTGGTAGGTGGCCATCAGATCACCCCTGAGCCTGCACTTTTCCAGGCTGAAGAGTCCCATGGCTCTCAGCCTGTCGTT